AAAATCCCGCCAAAATGTACTTGCAATAATTCAAACCAAGTATTGCTCAATTTAATTTTCCCTGTGAGTTGTCAAGTACTATACAATATAACAATAACAAAGAGGCACATGAAAAAAATGTGCATATTTAACAAATCTTTCAACTAAATGAAGCCTAATCTAATTAATGATTTCAGTCTCTCAAAATTACATAGGCAAGACAGAAGATGCCCCTATTTAGGGCAGAGGCGAGTGAGGGACTCGGTTTAAAATTCTAACATTAACATGAGAAAGATGATCATACTGTCAAGCTCAAACACTGCATAATAAAAAGTCATCGTGGCTGTTTCTAGAACCTTTTAGTATCTGATTTATCAGCCTCTAGGAGACATTTAGATAATGAGACTTGTTCATAGTAAGTAACGCTTCAGCCATTTATCGGTCACTGTATTAAATAAAGAGCACTTTTAGTTTAAAATCTGTACACAACTACATGCCAGAAAATGAGATCCAACTGATTCCAAACCTCCTGAAGTTCAACAGCCTCAGCAGACTGTGTGAGAAGAGTAAATAAAAAACACAAACTAAAATGAACTTAAGAGACTTCAACACATTTCAGGAAGAGATAGAAGAGATACCATAAGGAAATTGACAAGAGCAGAGAGTGAATTATGATGCAATGCCAGTTTTTAAACCTACAGTCAGCTGGTCTAACCCACAGAACTCAACTGGGGCACAGACTGCTGTTAAAATGCCAGCTCACTTTTCCCTCTCCCATCCCTGCACCAAAAGGCTAACTTGCTTTTGACAGACATCTTGGGAAACACACAAAATCATGAGTTTTCACATGAGCAACTTCCAAGTATCATATTCAGCACAGCTATGACAACTGAACTCATAGCCAGACTGTACAGCACAAGGTTTATCTCAGAAATCCATGAATTTAACCTCGCACAGGAAAAGAGTTGATGGCAATCAAAAAACAGTCACTGAATTAGACTCTTGTTCTACAAACTGCTCATATGATTTAATATAAATACTTTCCACATGTTTGGAAACCTGGGAAAATACATTTACTAGGTTTTGATCTGCTTTTATACTCTCCTTCATCTATCTGCTATTGGCAACTGCCAAGGATGATCTTGCTGGATTAAAGCAGAGAAGTCAACAGTGAAGTACAACTATTTTGTTGTTGTTCAAGGACTCAGATTTGGGGTTGTTGTTACCCTGCCTCCTTTAGCTCTTAGCTTTTATATGCAGTCACATACAAACGTGCAGAGAACAGAAATATGCTGAAAAAAATATTTTTAATATAAAAACATAAGAAATTTACTGGGTTAGTCCGTTTTTATTAGCATTCCAGTTGTAAGGCAACACTACCTTGACTTTCAGGAGTCTTAAAAAAAACTATGATACCTCTGTGTGAATAAAAACAAATCAAATCAAATACACAGTAAAATTAAGACACACGTGCATTTTAAAGTGAAATATATCTCTCTGTATTATTTTTGCTAGGATAGGAAAGCGTTACTCTTTCCTTTCATGTATCACTTTATCTGAAATGTTTCTACTGGAGAGGAACCAAGACCTCTGTAAATATTACATGTCATTTGCCAACAGGAAAAACTTAAGATCTTGTTATAGTAAATCACACATACCGGTACTAGTGTTCTCGGAAAGGTGACGTCAGCAAGCTCTGTTAACAGTTTAATCACCCAGCGGCAGCTGCTGTTCTGCTGCCCGGGGGAGATAACTGCCCAAGCTCTAAGGACCTTTCCTACTTTAATCCTTATGCACACTTCCAGTTTTATTTTTTTCTTCTTATAAATTCTGCTTTGTAAACATGACAAAGAGCATTCTGAAATTTTTTTTTTCTTTTAAAGCCCCTTTAACAACTAATTCTATGCACAGACAGCCTCCCTCTTCCTCCCCAAGTAAAACAGAGGCGATCCTACAAATACTCTGGCATACAGTCCACAGGACAAAGACGGACACTAGGATATATTGATTTCCCTTCTTTCAAGGGAAAAGGTTCTTAAAGGACACAATGACCTAGAAACCTCATTCAAACCCTGGCTTGCTCTTCTGAATTAAATGAAGCAAGCCAACTTTTGACAGTGAGTTTGCTGTAATACATTTCTCGTATGGAAATCATTTCCAGTTACAAAGTACCTAAGATTTATATGAATGATAAACCTATCTTAAATCTTTAAGATAAGATTTATCTTATACGTTGCCATACCCACAACAGCTAAAATACAGTACTAATTTTCTGAAGTGCTAATTCCCCTATTTCAACAAACTATGCAGCCTGAACAGGAAGTGGAAACCTTAAAAATTATTCTCATTCTGGCTCCTGCACTGAGAAAACCCACTCCCAGAACGGCCCTATCTGAGATAAGCAAACTCTGATTACCTACTTCCAGTGAAACCCTGTCCAACTGATATCACTGACAATACTCCCCATGCTTCAAGTAAGGCCAAGACTTCACATTACACATCAATCAGCCAACTCCCTGTTAAACTGAAAATGACAGATCCAGTTAAAACCGAGATAAAACACATTTGGTGTTTGACATCATGCAGGTCTTGCAGTTGGTTAATGAAAGGTTTTTACTTGAAAACAACTGTGTTTCTAGAAGTGAATCCACTGCATAACTTCAAAATTATCTTTTATCCAAAAGACGTTTCTGGTCCCTCAAATATACAGCTATTAACAATAGAGGAGGACAAAATGCTACTTAGTGGATTAAAGAAAGTCATAAATAAAACATGCAGCTGTAAGCCATCCCAGTGACCCTGCCTGACCCTTTCCCGCCTACCAGCAAATCCCCTCCATTTCACTAATCTAAATCTAGTCTATCAGAGCTGCTAAATTATTCAAATTACAATACTCTGTCACTTGACTTACAGTCTCAAGGTTCAGAGGTAGCCTGAGGCAAAGGAAAGGCCAAGTGACTTTTCCCTACCACCCTGTCACCAGTCGTACACAATGAATGCCATCATATCAATCATGGCCTAGTCATGACCAAAATGTATTAGTACCGAAATACACGCATCACTACGGCACGGTATCTATACGCTTCTAAAGATGGTGAAAGGCAATCTTAAGACACACTAAAGTTTAGAACAGCGTGTGCTATAAAGTGTCCCTCTTCCCTAACCCAAATAAAAGAAGCATCTCCAAAAGCAGCATGTTGTGTTTATTTTACAATATTTCTGGTAACAAGATGTTTTAGAGAATCATTAGATAACATCATAAATATCATCAATGTCCACTTCTAACAGGGACAACAAGAAATGCAGCAGGCTTATTTTGGACAGAAGTCTCCCTGTTCCCAGCACATACACTTGAAACAGTACAGAAAGGGAACATTTCTGCAATGACAATTAATCAGCACCATGTGCAAAACCATTCAAATCAGCTCCAGCTCTGCTGCCCATAAAGCACAATACTCTTCATGTTCCTCTCTCCCTAGTCAACTGCAAGCCTATGGTTGAAAAGTCTGAGAGAAAGTCCACTCATAGCCTCAAGAAAAAAGCCAGTGAAATCACTACCTTGCAACATCCTCCAACAGCAGAATGATCTACCAGGCAAAAATGCTCAGATGACCCAGGATATTGAGCCACACACCATATTACAAAGGAAGGCTGAAGATAAAACTGCGTAAACCCCCATCTACCCTCCAAAAGCTAAAGGGAAAAAAATCCTGCCAGTTTTGCTGAGGGGATTTCCTTCTTGCCTCTACATCTGGGAACATAGTAAGCAGATGTCTAAAAGGTGTCTACAGTCAATCTGAGACAGTTTCATTGAAGGTATTAATAAAGAATAACAACCTCACAAGTTACTTTCCTCTCCTAACAATGTTTTCTGAGAAATGGTTTCATCTGTCCGGAAATGACTGGCTGTCAAACCAAACCTATTTCGGATTAACTTCCTGTTTCAACAGTACAACATAGCCAAGATATTCCTCTCCCTATTCTAGATTAATACCCAACTGCTGGACTGCTGGGATTTTTAACTAGGCAGTAACTCTTCAGGCTTTTACCAAATCAAACTTATACACACTAAAGCTCTTGAGCCAACAAAAACGCCCAGTAACAAAAATACTTATGAAACTGGAAATGATGTGAAACTCAACTGTAATGGGCAGACATTAGCCTTTCGCTGCTAACAAAAATTAACTTTTACCTAGAGATGTATGTAACAGACACAAATTAGTTTCAGTGTACTTGTCCTGACATCATGGTTAAACGGGGCAAACCAACCCAAAGCATTTTTTCCTGCACTTGTAATTGGCATATTTTCCATAAGGCAGAAAAATCCTTGCATTTCCTCCTGCAGACACACCACCTTGGATTTTAGGCTGGCTCAGCCGCTACCATGGTTAACAAACAATTCTCTCAGTGCCAGGTAAAAATAAAATGTTTTCATCAAATAACGTCTTACAATATGGTTCAGTAGCTGGATCTTGGAAGTCTTAACAGCTAGTTCTTAAGGCCTCTGACTTTTAGAGGATACTAGTATCACCTGATTTTCATTTAAACACTGGTAAAAAGTGGTAAGATTTGCAAAGTGAAGGACCAAAATGTCAAGACTGTGTGAGACTGAACTGTCTGCATTCCTGCAACACCAGTTCCTTGCATTCATGCACCACAATTAGATGTGTTCACCACAGTGACCAAACCATACAGTTTGATCCCAGCTGCTTTGAAATTTAGGTACTGCTATCTTGAAATCTTACTTATCATATATTCCCTGCCAGATCTCTTTCTCCTCCCAACTCTCATCACTGTTACAGAAGTAATTATGAGTCATATTTGAAAACACAGATGTAAAATTCAAGAGAAATTAGTCCAAACATAGTGTTTTGCTCTGTTCTCATACAGCCTTGTTCCTAATGCCCCATTCTGTAGGCTGCCTCGGTGGACTAATTCAAATCTTCTTTCTTTGAAAAATGCTAAAAGCTGAGACATTCCTCATAAATTTCACATCTTAATTCATTCATCATGCTATACTTCATGCCAACTAGCGTGTAATGGCTCTAACCCTTTCCTGAGCCCCACTACTACCTCAATACTAGATTTTATCTAACTATCTGCTTTTGCACAGGATTCAGGAATTAACAGAATCATATAAATTCCTTCCTCCTGGCTAAACACTGATTTCAGAAGCAGGCTTTGCTATGACTAAGATAGAGGTGTTTGATGCTCTTCATCACAGTAAAAGACACACCATGATTAAAAAATTCTGAAAATCATAAAATGTTGAGCTCCAAATAACTGCAGGAAATGAATGCCAGTCACATCTGTAAGGTATTACTGGAGGCATTATTAGATGCTACTTAAATAATAAAATGTATTTTTATTTATTTTAGAAACACTATTTTTAAAAACAAAGAAAAAAGCACGAATACGTTGAAGGGAAATTTCTCTTTTCTTCGCAGTAGTGCCTAAAAAATTAAATCCATGGATGGGAAAAATGGTAAACCCATGGATACAGCTTCTGACACAGAAGTAGTACAAGATATTAGACCCAGTAATAGAATCTGGGTCTCCTGGGGGTTCAAATCCAATTTCCTCCCTTCTCATCTAAGAACCCCCATCCCAATTTAGGTATGAAACAGAAAGGGAATAAAACATGATCTACTTCAGCACCAGTAAGATGCCAATGCTGCGCTGCAACAGGACAGCAAACCTGGGACACAGAAGTACCTCTGCACAGATCAACATATCAACGTGTCCAGCAAGAAGCCTGTCTCCCTTTGCTGAGCATACAGTTGAAGTCAGTGAGCCTTGCCTTATCTGAGGTACCTTCTTCAGAGCTGTACACTTTTCCAGTGCAATGCCATGCAGACACAGTAAGGTCATGCACTCCTAAGTTCAGTTCCACCAGCCTGCAGCACCGAGATTCGGCATCACGCCGTTTAGAAAGAATTCACTGTGCCAGTGAGCATCCTGGCAGTAGCCTAAGGAGCAGCACACAGCGCTCCGTCTGACCAGCGTGACTCAATCCAAGACCCTTTCCGCGTAATTTTGTGAAGTGCCACACACACACTGTTACCACAACTTTCAACTGGAAACACGGAGCTCAGCACTTCTCCAAATCTTACAAACAGGTACTCAAACGAGAAGCCCCAAGGCACCAGCAACCCTTCAAAAACTCTGGATCCGCTAACAAGGCTTTCAGGAACCTTTGGTACTCTGGGAAACTTCGTAGTGAAGAACACACAAACATTTAGTCCATTCCAGCTTCAATTTACTGTAGAAAAATTAAGGCTGTACAGTTTTTTTCCCCAGCCTTTTTTGAAGTGATTTATGATAGGGTTCTCCAGGTATAACTAAATACTAGCAATCTTGTGCTCACACAAATGCTGTTGAAAAGAAGCCCACAGCATCTCCGTAGCAGAGAAACTGGTCTAAAAAAAACAAACAAGTGTTTTCACGTGAGATGCAAGACCATTATGTCACAAAGACCATTTTACAGCTGTTAGTAAAGTACAAAGCATCCCATACCATATTTACCATATAGACAGAAATAACTAAATCTCAAGCATTTTTTAAAGTAACAGTAGAAATTGAGAGGCATTTAAACACAAAACATTAAACAAATAATTTCCCTATGAGAAAAATATCTTTTAAAATATTACTTTGCAGCTCACAAACATTTACTTATACACTAATACCTATGGTTTGCAACCCTCTATCACCACTTAGCACAATGAGTTTAATCTGTAGACTTTTCTCCCTCCTGTTATAAACATTTGTGTATGTGTTACCATAGGATACATGCCTACAGAAATAAACAAAATGCAAAATCCAAAATGACCGTGACATATTAGCTTCAGTGTTTTAAGCCAACAGGATAAGCAAAAAGTCTAGGAATTTTATGGCAATTATTACAGAAAAGATACTTACATGGACTAACATCTCTGTATCTGTTTCGATTTCTGTTTTCTGGATATTTTGCAACCCTGTGAGGGTAGTCACTGGAATTATGTCGGATTTCCTTTAAAAGACAAAAAAAATGCGTTTTACTTATAGCCAGCAAGACGATTAAGATTAGTGTTTTACACATCCTATTAATTAATCACAGTTATTAAAAATTAACATTTTTAAACCAACTTTTATTGCACCTAGTGCCATTTCACTCACAAAACGTGTCTCATTCTTGGCCAACCTGCTGTCATTTAGATCTTCCTACACTTGGCTGACATAACCAGACTAACATAAGCACAACTTGCTAAGCAACTGATGCACCAGGATCAAAGGGGGAAAAAACCCAACCAGGTATTTATTATGCTTACAGTTTACCCTCTGATTTGCATGTTATCTGCCATAGCAATAAGAGACTCAGATGGAACTTTCACCCGTGTTCCTGCAGGCTCCTTTACACTGACTGGCAGCTTAAAGCCCCACAAAGGTAACTGAACTCATTAATGATTTTATGGCTGCTGTTAAGAGCCATATGATTATTCTTGGTGGTTTGATGGTTCATCTTAAACAGCTGTAGTTGAACATGAACCAATATGAAGAAAGAATTCTAGAGTCACATATATCAAAGTGAAATAACAGCATGCTTCTCCCTATGCATTAATACAAACCTTTCAATAGTATGTCAGATACTCAAACAGGCTCATTCACGTACTATTTTAAGTACCATACTGTTCACTTGTTCTGAATGTTCAGCTTTATTAATTTTTTTCCTCAGTGCATCTTTTCCTCAACCTTACTAAGATATAAAGATTTACCTTACGTAGACAACTGAAAACAGTCCCCAATGTATTCAACTGTCTTTACATCTCTGTACTGATGCCATCTCAGCAGAGATGTTGTACGATACAGAATTAACAGTATTTTACTCGGAATTCTCCTTTTGTTTTCAGATTATGTTGCTGCATTTGATCATTATGTCCCAAAGGGCATTTAAACTTCTCATTACAACTGAGCATTCTTTGGTTTTCTCAATGTTTCCACTATCTTTGTCTTCAAATTTCCTAAATGGCCCAGTCTATTCCCGGACAATGAACACAGCTAGAAAGGACTTCAGTGGAAATCCAAAACACAAAAGCAAGCTCCGTTTTTTAGCATCTGGTGCATGACCTCACTTTGAGTGCAGAACCAACCTGTAAAGAATATAAACCCCAAAGTGGAGAGACAACTGCTGAGCACCAGTGCTCCACATATTTGTATAAAAATCTCTTGATCTATTTGCTTTTTTTATTTTGATAAAGCACACTGGAACTTCTCCTCTGGTTTACACAGCTGACAAGCTTTGGGAGCTTGCGCATGGAATGAATGGATCTGGCAGGCATTCACACCCAAGTTTCCATGAAATGTAAGTTTTGTATTACTCAGTAATAGGATGCAACATACTTTGTTTTTAAAAGCACCTTTATCATGGGTGCACAGAAACACATCTGCACTTTGGTAAAGAAACATTAAATCATCTGGAAACACTACTACAGTGATGGGGTGGAGGGCAGGCTTGCTATAAAGGAACAAACTTAAGGGAGTTTAATGATGATTTCTAAAATCGTTTTTCCCACATAATGTCCAGCCATCACACAGAATATCCTGAGTTGGAAGGGACCCACAAGGACTATCAAGCCCAGCTCCTGACCCTGCACACAATAACCCCAAGAATCACACCCTGTGCCTGAGAGTGTTGTCCAAATGTTTCCCGAACTCTGGTAGGCTTAGGCTAAATGTTACTTATTCGAAATACAGATATATTCGAAACTGAAATAAATGAAATATTGAAATAATGTATTTGAATCACATATAAATCAAATAAATCGCTAATTTAACAGAGAAAAAGCACTATGTGAAGTCATTAAAGAGAGCTGTAAAATACTGCTGGGACAAATAACGGCTCTAGTGGTACCAGCTGACAAAAGTCTATTTTATGGAACTGACTGCTGTTGAAAGTTCGTACTCCCGTTGTTTCAACACAGAAAAGTGCAAATACTGCATCTTTCGAGAGGCAGCCGCTCAGGATCCCCGCAGCAGCCGCCGGGCTTTGCCAAAGGCAGCAGGAACGGGCGCTGAGGAGGAAGCGCGGGTGCCTGGGGAACCGCGCGAACCCAGGGGCGACGCCGAGCCTCGGCCGAGCCGGTGTTACGAAGCAGAGCTCCCCGACCGCACTCCGAGCGGGCCCCGCTCGGTTCAGCCCCGGCGGCACCGACGCCGAGGGGCCGCCAAGCCCGCGCACGCGCCCCGCGCCTGCGCGCCGCCGCCTCCCCCACGCGCCCCTCTCCCTGGGCCGCCCCTGGCGCGCATGCGCGGCGCTTGCCCGCGGCTCCGCTGCGCGCACCTGAGGGCGAGAGCCGGGCTGGCCCAGCGACTTCCGCTCTCCCCGCTGCCGAGGCGGCGGCGCGGACCGGGCACGGGCGCTGCCGGTCCGCGGCCCTCTCTGCCTCCCGCCCTCCTCCCCTCCCGCTCTCCCGCTGGAGCCGACCGTCCCGCCCGGCTCACCAGATAACGCGCCTGCCAGTCGTTCGTAGCGTCGATCTCCTGGAACTCCTTCTCGATGGCGGCGGACATGGTGGCGGCGGCCGGCAGGGCGCGCGAGCCCGCCCGCGGCAGGCCGGCCGGCAACCTCGCGACCACTCGCGCGCTGCCCCCCGCCTCACGCGAGCGGCGGGCGCGCACACACGCTCGCGACCGGGTGTCCCGGCGCGGGGCGCATGCGCGGCCCTCGTCCCGCCCACCGAGGGACTATGAGGCCACGCCCCCGAGAGGAGGAGGCGGTGTGCACCTGTGGTGACGTCACGGGGGGCGGGGCCGGGTCGGGGGCTTCGGTAACCTACTGGCGGCCGAGCGGCTGTTGTCGCGAAATCGCGGAATCAGGCGGGTTGGAAAAGAGCTCTCAGATCATCGAGTCCAGCCTGTGACCGAACATCGCCTTGTCAACTAGATCATGGCACTGAATGCCACATCCACAGTCTTTTCTTAAACATTTTCAGGGATGTGACTCCATCACCTCCCTGGGCAGCCCATTCGAGTGTCTAATCACCCTTTCTGTGAAGACAGTCTTCCTAACGTCCAAACTAAAGCTCCCCTGGCGCAGCCTGACGCTGTTTTTGTTGCCGCCTGGGAGAAGAGCCCGATCCCCACCTATCCCCACCGATCAGGTAGTTGTAGAGTGATAAGGTCTCCCCTGAAGCCTCCTCTCCAGGTTAAACACCCTCCGCTACTTCAGCTACTCCTCATAGGACTTGTGCTCCAGACCCTTCACCATCTTCGTTGCCCTTCTCCGGAAGGTTCCTTCACAGGAAGGTGCCCTGCTCCAGCACCTCAGTGTCTTTCCTGAATTGAGGGCCCCAGAACTGAACACACAGTATTTGAAGTGTGGCCTCACCAGTGCCAAGTAGAGAGGGAGAATCACTGCTCCTGCTGGCCACACTGTTCCTGATGCCGGCCAGGATGCCACTGGCCTTCTTGCCCACCTGGACACACTGCCGGCTCACGTTCAGCCGCCGTCCATCAGCACTCCCAAGCCCTTTGCCACTGGGCAGCTCTCCAGCCACTCTGCCCCCAGCCTGTCGCGCTGCATCGCTGTCTCGATGTCACTGAGCTGACACAGCCCTCTGAGGGTGCATGGGCGCTTCCATGGAGTCCCCATCCCGGCTCAGCGCCGCACCCCCCGCGCTATGCCCCGTCGGCAGCCACTCCCTCTCAAAAGCAGAAGTGCGGAGACACGGGCGTATGGGACAGACAAATCACGGAGGAGCTCGCCGTCCCGAAAGCAGAAGCGCCGCGTCCCGCCGCGATTGCCTCAGTGGGACAGGGAGTCCCTCGGGGAGCAGCTCGGCAGACGCAGGGCAAAGGCAAGGGCCGGGCGGGGGCAGCGAGCGCTGCGGGGCGGGGGCTGTGAGGGGAGAGCGCCGATGGCCCTCGGGCAGGCGAACAATGCCTGCTGCTCAGCACAGGTCGCTGGGTAACCCCCGGAGCCTTAAAAATGTGTTTGTGAATTAGTGACGCAAAGGGGGACTATGTATCGTCAATGTGTCTGAAGGGAGGGTTGTCAAGAGGATGGAGCCAGGCCCTTCGTGGTGATGCCAAGAGGTAGGACAAAAAGGAATGGGCAGAAACTGATGCACAGAAAGTTCCACCTGAATATGAGGAAAAAACTCTTTACTGTGTGGGTGACTGCGCACTGGAACAGATTACCCAGAGAGTTTATGGAGTCCCCCTCACTGGAGATATTCAAGAACCATCTGAATGCAATCCTGTCCCGTGTGCTCTGGGATGACACTGCTTAAGCAGGGAGGTTGGACCAGGTGATTCACTGTGATCCCTTCCAACCTGACACATTCTCCGAGAGGTTACAATGCCTCTCCAAAACCTGGTGACAGCCCTGCCGTCCATCCCACTGCCTTCCCTCCTGCTTGTCCCTGTTCTGAACCTTAACTCCTGACACTCCCTTTTCCTTCAGCAGGCTCTCCCCAACTCTCAACACAGACCCTCACGGACTGGGAGGCTTCACAGGGAATGTTTGGATATGCCCTCTCCCACCCCTGAGGGGCCTCCACCCCTCACTGGGCCCCAGCCGCTCCCCTATGCTCTCCTGCTCTGTTGCCACTTGGCCTTCTCCACCCTGGGCCCCCTCAGAGTGTCCTGACACCAGTCACATACACACAGGCAGGGGCTGAGTGTGTTAAACATGGTGTGGCTGACACATCTGAAGGAAGGACGCCATCCAGAGGGACCTGGATGTGCTTAAGAAGTGGGCCTTCAAGACACTCATGAGGTCTAACAAGACCAAGTGCAAGGTGCTGCACCTGGGTGAGGGCAACCCTTGGTATCAACACAGGCTGAGGGATGAACAGATAGTACCAGGAAGGACTGGGGGGTGCTGGTGGATGAGAGGCTGGACATGGCCTGGCAATGTGCAGTCACAGTCCAGAAAGCCAATTGTATCCTGGGCTGCATCAAAAGCAGCGTGGCCAGCAGGGCAAGGTAGGGGATTCTGCCCCTCTACTTCTCTCTGGTGAGACTCCACCAGGAGTACTTCATCCACCTCTGGGGTAACCAGCACAGGAAGGACATTGGCCTGTTGGAGTGAGTCCAGAAGAGGGCCACCAAGTTGGTCAGAGGATGGGGCACCTCTCCTATGAAGAAAGGCTGAGAGAATTGGGATTGTTCAGCCTGGAAAAGGGAAGGCTTCAGGGTGACCTAACTGTGACCCTCTAGTACCTAAAGGGAGTCTGTAAGAAAGATGGAAAGAGACTTTTTACAAGGGCATGTAGTGACAGGCAAGGAGAAATGGCCTTAAACTGAAAGAGAGTAGATTTAGGTTAGATATTAGGAGGAAGTTCTTTGCTGTGAGGCTGGTGAGACAGTAGAACAAATTTCCCAGAGAAGCTGTGGATGCCCGATCCCTGGAAGCGTTTAGGGCCAGGCTACATGGGGCTCTGGAACAACCTGGTCTAGTGAAAAGAAATCCCCTTTCTATGGCAGGGGGGTTGGAAGGAGATCTTTAAGGTCCCTTCCAATCCAAGCCATTCCGTGATGCTATGACCTACAGTGCCTATGATAACCAAACTGCACAGTCCTGCACGTGGCTGTGCCACCACTGTGGTTCCCCATGCAACTAATAGTTTTGAAATGGATTTCTGGTTTCGACATCCAAATACCTGTCATGGAATGCTGTTACATTTCTTTTCTGTTGTACAGTGCTCTAAATCCACTGGCTGATGTGCCTCCTCAAGTCTTGTGAGGAAATCTCACGTCCTGGACACCAATGGACTGCACACTGGACACTTCAGATGCCTCTGAAGCAGAGCTGAGGAGACAGTATGAATCAGTAAGTTCATAACAAGTTTATCCTGGTAACTCAAGGAAATGTTGCACAAGATTTTATTAAACTGTGGATTCAGGCTTTGAAATAGATATAGGGAATGGCTTTCCTGGATTTTTCTGCCTGCAAGACAGAGGCACAGGTCATGTCTGTAGTTCTCCAGTGCTCTCTAGTTAATCAGTGTTCTATGTGTGATCAGTTATGAAACAAGTAAATAAGACAACATTTGTGAATTATGTTTATGACTTCGGAGTACAGAGGAGAATCCAAGTGCCCACCCTCAAGGTAATGATTGGTTTTCATTTGAAATAGGTTTCTTTGAATTCATGTTTCAATTAATAAAATCATTCTTAACCTCAGGAAACTTACATTGCACAAGTTTGGTGTAAGAAAGTGAATAGATACACAGAAACTGTCTGCCAAATAACAGATTTCAATAAAGAAATTAAAATATACACGTTCTTCTTTGATTTTATTCTTTGGTAGGCTTTCCCCCATACATAAACTTGCTGAGTAATCTGTATTTATAGCATTTATGACATGAGAAGCTTGTGCTTGCCACTGTTTGTGATATTTGGGGATGTAGTTCATACTGGGACAGCAATGTAATTGTGTTGTTAGGAAAGGGAGTTTCATGGTAGGAGCTATGTTTAGAATCTGTAACACAAACCAGTGCCCAGAGACAGCTCATGGAAAGCTGATTTTAGAAAGCAATAAGTTATAAACCAGGAGTTTCTGAAGAAATTGCCATTGTCTGGTTTTGAGTTATTATTTTGCTGCAAATAGGCTGAAAATGCTGTGCCAATTCTCTGTTTTTTGGGAATTGAGCCCAGGATAGGCCCAAGACTACAGTTATAATGGTCTGTGGAGAAGAACTGTATATACAACATAAACCAAGTACACTTATTAGAAAACTTTATTTATTTTACTGCCAATAGTATATTCTCATTCTGTGTTAGCTGTGCAGCCAAACCCGTATGAACTACTACATAAACCCTTAAACCCTTGAGAAGCAGGAGACACACGCAAAGCAGGATAATATAGTTCCTGGAAAGTCTGGTATGTTGTTAGAATTTTCTGTATTAGTGTAAACACAAAGAGGCAGTTACTGCGATGTCTTTCTATTAAAATGTCTGATATTTTGAGAAGCCCCTTGCTGTGCTGACAGAACAGTCACCCTCAGGTAGTTGGTATCCACAGCAGTTCTGATTTCAAAATTAGCTTTGGTGCCCTTGAAAACCAATCAAGTCAATTTTAAGTGTTTTTTGTCCAGTGACCTTGGCTGAACAATTAACTTTAGTACGAGTCTGGAATGGACTAAGTGTTTGTTCCTCCATGTGTACTTTTTTTGGTCATTCACTGGAATTACTTAAGCACCATTTATTGGAAATGATCTGGTTTGTGCTGCTTTTCTGAGAACCATTTTGGATATTGGTAGATGAAGAACAAATTCTTCCCTGAGGTGGTTTTATTCACAAATACACTGCACATCAATTTTAGCTGTTAAGGAAGAAAGCTGTAATGTGCTTAAGTTTGCCACGATGTGAAAGGATGAGAACAAATAATTCCTGATTTAAGTCCTGTAGCCCAAGGCCTAAAGGAGAACAGGATCTTCCCTTCCCCCATGAGCTAGATAGGACTTGAAACCCAGAAGGGCTGGCCACTCTTCTGGCATCTGATAGGGAACAGGAGAAGCTGGACGAAAAGGTCCAATGATCAGGATGAAACAGATTTCATTTATTGTGTGCATTTACAGTGTAGTCATTGTATTTCAGACTTTTGGGAACTCTATTCTTTGTTCAAGTGAAAGTGAAAATTCCCATTACCAAAAGTGGGTGGCAGTGCAAATACTTCTCCTCGCCTATATT